AGAGGGAGAAGAAGGTGGTGAGGTGGGGGAGGCGGGAGGTGTGTGTGTGTGTGTTGACATTTTGTAGACATTCAGAAAAGACAGGATCCAGTTTCCAAACACCTGTTTAGGCTATAGAGTGAGTGAGCAGCGTTAAAGAGAGCGACACAGAGTTGAGTCGAGTGTTTTTCAAGTATTCCATTGTCAGGAAGAGCCCCCACCTCCTCTCCTATCTAATGCTATCTTAGCCTCTTGGCTGGAGTCTGGTTGGCGCACAGTGATGGAGAGGAGGGGGAGAATAAAACAGCCTAACCCCCCCCTTCCCCAGCTTCCATCACAGCATAGGCAACTTAGCCGCCAGGCCACGGGCAAATCCAAAAAACAGAGTTGTTGACGAAAGCAACCAGAAAAGCAGCTTTCCAAAAAAAGGCACTACAAAATCAAAATTAAAACATTTAAATAAAAAGGTTTTCTCCAAGCTCTATGAGAGCAGCCATGTCTGAATAGGAAGGCCTTGCCAGCTGCATATACCAGCCTAGTAACAAAACGAGTGAAATAAAGTTAAAAAGGGGGGGGGGGGGAATAAATAGTGCTGGTAAGACCGCCCAAACAGAAAAATGTTCCCGATTAGGAAACAAGTATAATCAACCGAAAGAAAAAGAGGGGATGGGGGGAAAGTAAGATAAGGAAGAACAAATAGTAATAACTTAGAAATTCCCTACAAAAGAGGAAAATTAAAGTACATTTTTTGAGCTGGAGCAGCTGAGTGACGCGCCCAGCCGCTGATGGGCCAGTTGGGCTACAGGCTGCTGGCCTCGAGTCCATATCACTCCCTCCATCCAAACCCCTTCTTTCCCCAGAAAGTCTGTTCCAGTCCAGTCAGAGCCGTCCTCAGAGACTCTCCTTGCTTGAGCTTGTGCTTGAAGAAGAGTCTGTGTCGATGGTCCTGAGGCGGATGTCGACGGCGACCGGCTCCTCCGGTGACTTGGGCGACTCTGTCGTCGCCCTCATCCAGGGGTGGTCGCAAATCTGCTCCAGGGTGGGCCGGTCTGAGGGCCGAAGGGCCAGGCACCATTTGATCAGCTGCTGGCACTCTGAAGGGGGAGACAGAAACAACATTGAGGATAAGAGGCTCTGAAGTCAAACTGAGAAATTACCAAGTGGGCACTGCATGTGACTCAGTTTGTATGGATCTACAATATCCGAGTGTGTGGGCGGCGCACACACAGCCAATAGAATGAGAGCACACATGCTTTTATTGAGTTACCTCTCTAGGGTAACCAAGGCTGTTACACAAAGTGCACAGAGGGAAATCAGAACAGCCAGAATCTCAGTTTTATTTACCGTTGATAAAGCCATCTAGCAGCCATTTCAGCAGGTGATCCCCTGTGATTGTGGAGGTATTACTCTGATGTAAACTGACTCATGACTGAGTGGCACTGGGAGGTGGATTTTGGGGCTGTACCAGTTACTGTGGCTAGAGGGCAACAGAGTCAACTCATGCGTTTGTGTATTGTTGTGGTTGACTTACCGGCTGAAACCCTCCTCCTGAAGTACAGTCTACCCCTGAGGATCTCCTCGTCCTGCTCAAAGGGGATGTCTCCACACACCATGTCATACAGCAGCACGCCTAGCGACCACACCGTCGCCGAGCGACCATGGTATCTATGAAAGCGAATCCACTCTGGTGGGCTGTACACTCTTGTACCTAGAAGAAAATTGGGACAGAGAAAAGGAGGATGAGTGTTGTGAAGTATGAAGCAGTGAAAAGATATTTAAGGGGTAACAGTGCGACAATATAGAGGACATACTGGAACAGCATAGAGACTCTTAATAAAAAACAACTGAAAATATTTAATGCCTCTGTGTCTAAAATGGCTGAGTCATGGTAGAAATGCTTTCCATCTTCCTTTAGCCACAAAACACAAACTGGGTGACCTGCCTGCCTCTCCTCCCTCTCTCTCTCTCCCTCCCTCCCTCTCTGGAAGGAGGAACTTGGATACCAAACAAAAAGAGGCAATGTGAGCCCATCACGTGAACCGCCGACTCGGGTTTCACAACAAACAGATGTTACGTGGCACTGACCTAATACCCACAAACTGCGACTGTGAGTCAAGCTTAACTAACAAAATAACAACCGGAAACATAAGAGCACACAACCCCTCACGCGGCAGGGCTGTTTCAGAGATAATAATAATAATAAAACAATAAAATAGTCAATAGGGTTAATAATAAAACAGGGAGTCATATCTCGCTAAGCCATAACACGCGAGTCACACATCCCGCGAAAAAGTAGAAAAAAGAAACAGTGGGAGCTTTTCATTTACTATTTACATCCGTAATATTGATAAGCCGCGAGACCCCGGGCGAGGAAAACCCTGGACCCAAAACAGACCACTGCGTCACAGCCTCGTGAACGCCTCCGTGTCTGAATATAGCACCGCGGAGCATCAAGGGCAAACACAACCCAGCCCACACGGATGTATGTATTCATATATATATAGAAAATAATACACTATTTACAGAACCAGCATCGTATAAGAGCAAATAGTCTAATATGAGAAGGGGGGGTTGGCTGCTTACCATCGAAATCGGTGTAGACTGTGTCCTTGAGAATCGCCCCCGAGCCAAAGTCAATAAGCTTGAGCTCCCCGGTGCGCAGATCCACAAGCAGGTTTTCATCTTTGATGTCTCTGTGTACTACACCGCAGCTGTAGCAGTGTCTGACCGCCTCCAAAACCTGGCGGAAAAAGCCCCGAGCCGTGTCCTCGTCCAGGGCGCCCTTCTCCGTGATGAAGTCGAAAAGGTCCTTGACGAGCTCCGGCCTCTCCATAACGATCAGCCAGCCGTCCGCCCGCTCGTAATAGTCCAGCAATTTGATAACTCCGCGAAACGACGAGCTGACCTTCTTCAGCAGCAGGATCTCCAAAGGCACCATAGACCCGTTCTGTGGCAAATACATAAAAGGGGGGGGGGTTTATTTAGCGTGTTAGGGTAATGCACAGCCATTTTTACCCCTTTTTAAAACCTCATAACACAAGAGGAGGGAGGAAGGGGAGGGAGGGAGAGGAGGGGG